GAAGATACCCAAGTTCAAAGAGGTTCTCCTCATAGATCACGATCTCCATCACCGACGAAACACGAAATCGGTTCTCCTGTTAGATCGCGATCTCCATCACCGACGAAGCACGAAACCGGTTCTCCTGTTAGATCGCGATCTCCATCACCAAGCAAATTCGAAACTAATCTCATCTCTCCATCTGTGGAGCAGACAGCTGGTTTCCACGGGACCCAACATATTGCAGAAGATACCCACGTTCAAAGAGGTTCTCCTGTTAGATCGCGATCTCCATCACCAAGCAAATTTGAAACTAATCTCATCTCTCCATCTGTGGAACAAAAAGCTAGTGTCCATGATGCTCCACGTATTGTCGAAGATACTCAACTTCATAGTGGTCCTGTTAGATCGCGATCCTCATCACCGACGAAACACGAAACTAGTTTCGTCTCCCCATCTGTGGAGCAGACAGTTGGTGTCCACGAGACCCAGCATATTGTAGAAGATACCCAAGTTCAAAGAGGTTCTCCTCTTAGATCACGATCTCCATCACCGACAAAACACGAAATCGGTTCTCCTGTTAGGTCGCGATCTCCATCACCAACGAAACACGAAACCGGTTCTCGTGTTAGATCGCGATCTCCATCACCAAGCAAATTCGAAAGTAGTCTCATCTCTCCATCTGTGGAACAGAAAGCTAGTGTCCATGAGGCTCCACATATTGTCGAAGATACTCAACTTCATAGTGGTTCTCCTGTTAGATCGCGATCTCCATCTCCGAGGATACACGAAACCGGTTCTCCTGTTAGATCGCGATCTCCATCACCGACGAAGCACGAAACCGGTTCTCCTGTTAGATCGCGATCTCCATCACCAAGCAAATTCGAAACTAATCTCATCTCTCCATCTGTGGAGCAGACAGCTGGTTTCCACGAGACTCAACATATTGTAGAAGATACCCAAGTTCAAAGAGGTTCTCCTGTTAGATCGCGATCTCCATCACCGACGAAGCACGAAATCGGTTCTCCTGTTAGATCGCGATCTCCATCACCAACGAAACACGAAACCGGTTCTCGTGTTAGATCGCGATCTCCATCCCCAAGCAAATTCGAAACTAATCTCATCTCTCCATCTGTGGAACAAAAAGCTAGTGTCCATGATGCTCCACGTATTGTCGAAGATACCCAAGTTCAAAGAGGTTCTCCTGTTAGATCACGATCTCCATCACCAACGAAACACGAAACCGATTCTCCTGTTAGATCGCGATCTCCATCACCAACGAAACACGAAACCGGTTCTCGTGTTAGATCGCGATCTCCATCACCAAACAAATTCGAAACTAATCTCATCTCTCCATCTGTGGAACAAAAAGCTAGTGTCCATGAGGCTCCACATATTGTCGAAGATACCCAAGTTCAAAGAGGTTCTCCTGTTAGATCGCGATCTCCATCACCGACGAAACACGAAACCGGTTCTCCTGTTAGATCGCGATCCCCATCAGCGACGAAACACGAAACTAGTTTCGTCTCCCCATCTGTGGAGCAGACAGCTGGTGTCCACGAGACCCAACATATTGTAGAAGATACCCAAGTTCAAAGAGGTTCTCCTGTTAGATCGCGATCTCCATCACCGACGAAACACGAAACTAGTCTCGTCTCTCCATCTGTGGAACAGACAGCTGGTGTCCACGAGACCCAACATGTTGTAGAAGATACTCAAGTTCAAAGAGGTTCTCCTGTTAGATCGCGATCTCCATCACCGAGGAAGCAGGAAACCGGTTCTCTTCCGACATCAAGGTTATCGTCACCGCTTCACTCCCCATCGAAGTTGGAAAATAATGAGGATACAGAGATTGCGCACAACCAGAGAAGTAGAATCTCATCTTTTCATCAAGCGTTTTCAATAGATCGAAGTTCCGCCTCATCCCCTGTCGGAGTTCATTCACCAAGCGGACGAGTACTTGAGGAATATTCAAATGATCGCTTTGAAGATGAAGCACAAAACGGTAACGATGATAATGCAACACCCTCCGGAAAACTTGATGCGGAAGATCCAATCAATGAGACGAGTACGGCTCTAAACAAATCCAAAGATGGTGATTACCATCACAGTTTAACGAACAGCTCGGCTGAAGGTGATGAGAACGAACAACACAATGATAGTGTTGACTCAACACTCGATATAATTTATGAGGAAAAACCGGATAATCGCAAATCAGATATCGAACACAGTAATCAGTCAGACCATATGGAATTGGCTTTCAGTAATACATCTCGGAAAAACAGTGTTGATCAAGTTGTGTCGTCATCTGCTACAAACCCAAAAGTTCTAAGATCAATATCTTCGTCATCAAGTGCATTGCCGGAGGAGCAGCAAAAGGATGATGCAGAAAATCGAACACGATCTCCTTCTCCACTGTTGGAAGAATTTGTCAGTGATCAAGATTTACATCAGAGCCAAAGCCAATTGATTCGACCGAATAGTCTTCGCTTTGTACCAAATGACGACGAGACCCAAAGTTGGAATAATGACATTGATGAAGATGATGAAATACCTATAAATCACAGCCCAAATACCGTTACCGTGGAGAGAAAATCTAGTTTAGTAGTTCCTGATGAACAAAAGCAAGTTGAAAACAAATTACTAACGCCAAACAGCTCTCATCACTCTCCAATTATCGAAAAATTCGATCCCATTGAACGTCCTAGCACAGAAAATTTGGGTACTGATGTAAACCATTATAATATGGTTAATGTAAATGAAACTCCGGCAGTACCTGATCAAAATACAGTTGATAATCTTGCTTCTATTGTAAGCACTTCGAATGATACAAATGCTCAACAGTCGAAAGCAGCTACGACGGCAACGATATATAGTCCATTGTATGATAATTTACCTCAGAATGAACATGTCACGGATGTAAAACAAAACGTAAAAATGATGACCAAGCAGCATTCAATCGTTGACCCTTCAGATAGCGCTAGAACGAATGTTAAGCGTTATTCACTTGATGGAACACAAAAGTCATTGAAATCACCGGTTACGATGGATGAGCGAGATCTCATATCGAGAGCTAATGGATCCGTATCACTTTCGCACGTAGATGAAACTAGTAAGAAGATGATGGTTAGATATTTTCGAAGGTGTTGGTTTGTTTACATGGTTAGCTATTAGTTCAAAGTTTATTATTTCTGAATAACTGCTTCTCATAGGTGATAGCTAAAAGACCAGAAATTAAGAGTTAATTTTCTGTTGTTATTCTTTAAAGTGCACCGCAGAATTTGGCAGACATTGTGTAAGACGATAACTTGTCTTAGAAAACGAAACTTGTATGAAATTGTATATTTTGTTAACCGACAAAACGCTTCTGCGATAGAGGGGTTTTAGATGTTAGTTTTGCTTGTTGCTTTTCATATCCCCGCTAAAATCTATTAAATTAAATCTGGGTAATTATGATTATTTTGTTTCTTATCTTTATTTTAGATGTCGATCAACCTGATCAAATTGTAACGAATGCAAAAAGTACTTGACAACCGACAAAATTTAATATTGGAACAAACTGTCTTTAAATTATACATATATCACAGTAATATGAGATTATACATAAACATATGAGATGACTTGATCTCATTATTTAGAGCCACTGCTATTATGCTTCCCCTTTATTGTTATCATTCTTGTTTTTGATGTTGGTTTTTTTGGAAAAATATCAAATATATTCTCTTTTTTTTTGAATTTGTAATTTGGTTAGTTATGTATGCTTTTTCTATCATTTATGCTTCGGTTTGTTGTTTTCGTTTTTAGTGCAATATAATGCACAGACTTTTGTACATTGTTAATAACAACAAAGAACAACAACTAAGGTGGCCGTGTGTGTGTGTGCTTTTTTTTTTCTTCTACTATCACTACTAACGACAGACGATATGTATTTGTACGTATTTACGGCTTTTTTTCTTGTTAACCCGATCAAAGGAGAGAGATACTGAGAGAGTAATATTTCTATTTTTGTTTTTGCTAACATTTGAGAGATAGAGTTTTTATTGAATTTGTATAAAGTCAGTCTATATAGTTAGTCTGCTTCTGTTTTATTTTATATATATGCAACCAAAAAATAATATGTTCAGTAGATGATATTCACGGATACAGTCATTTCTTGTTAAATGAGCAACATATTATACTATATAGACAAATTGAAATTCAATTCTGTTTTTTTCTTTTAAAAATATTTACTAGATTTGACAGTCGTCTCAAAATCGAAAAAAACAACAACAATGGTATATAACACACATCAGAATATTGAGATCACTTTGTAGGAAATTATTCTATTTGGGTTTGCAAATTCAAATCGCAAAGAATTTATACATCTTTGGTAAAATATTCAACTAATTTTGCACCATTCTTCGACATGTAGATAAACTTAGAACTTTTGATGTCTGTTCACAAACAAAATTTTCAACAAAACAGCGTAAATTAGCGTAGAGAAAAATAATCATCCACGCACTCTTAGCCAATTCATCTTCTAGAATATAATATTATCATATTATTTTGGAAAAAAATTAGTGTAAAAACTCATGATTTATTACGAGAGATCAGATATCGAAGCTGATCAGGTCGGGTCGGATCAAAGAAAAAATTATTTTCAGATATAATTCGGATCAATGAACAGTACTCGAACTATAACGATTATTTTCTATTTAAAATTTTGTTGTTGCTGGCTATGTTTGTCTTAGTCAAATTCTCTGTAAACTCGCTCCACACCATGACTGAAGGATTTGTCATTACTAAAAATATAGAGGCAGACTTTCGTCGAATGTATTTTTTCATGTATTTTCGAACATATATCTGTATCTGTCGAAAAAGACGCTCCAGTTTTAGCTTTCGGCGCAACATATGTTTCAGCGGCACTTCGACAATATACGTTTCAGAGAATGATTTTCAGCTCGAGTCACTGTCAGATCAACGACGAAAAAAAAATTGTCCAATTCAACTTTTTATTTATAATACTAACCACTTAATGTGTACTATGATAAACAATAGATTAATTTTCGCCATTTTTTGTTGTCATTTAAACGTAAATGGGTGCCGACACGGAAACCACTAGTCTCGGTTAAATGCCAACTTAAACGTTTCTTTGGAAATGTTTGTTTTTGATGATCATCTTTATAATCATCTGCTGCATTTTGATTTATTTCATTTGTTGGTGAAAATCCAAATGATCGATCAGCTGTGAAATACCAGAAAACATTGCCAAATTTTACTGGTTTATTCAACGTTGTATTTAACTGAAAAATATTGAGTGGTCCACATGCAACCAAATGTAAAAGTGTTGAAGGATCATTGTTTTTGGCAGCAGCAACCAATACTTTTGGACCAAGACATTTTGTTGTTAGAATTTTTAGTTCATCGATGGTTGTTTTATGATTGTATGATGTATCATACACAAGTTTAGAATGTGATGGTCTGAAAATGTTATGAAAAATTTTTAAAATCATAATTCAATGATGGTGATGATGTAAGAATTGAATAATTTTTATTTGAAAGAGTATTTTCCAATCTTGATAATTTGTTCGAAAAATTAATTTCTAATTGATTAATTTTGTTATCAAATGCTTGTTTTAGTTCTTGAATTATATCATTTTTGGCATTGGTTATTAATGCTAATGTTTCACTATTAATAGACAAAACTCCAATGTTTAAAGCAGATGACAAAACTGATGTTGTTGTTGTCGTCGTTGGCCTTGTAGTAGTATGAACCATTTGATTCTGAACAATAGGTGGAATACAAGCAGCTATCAGACAACAGAAGGGTATGAAATGAAACAGGTCATTTTTGAAAGGAAAAAAATTTACAATCGGAATGATAAAATATCATACACTATTATTAAGAAATGAGTAAGGATTTTCGCCAATAAGATTAAAAAAGAATTAGCCTCTGTAATTAAAATACCAAACATGAAAATAAAGTAGACATTTTCACGTGTTATATGCTTCGAAGAAAAAATGACTTATTGCTCATTTACCACAATTATTACAAGATAAAGAAAGAAGTTCCCTTCATTTAGATATACAACAATTGAGAATCAAACATCTTAGCCAAGCGAAATTCAATGGTTTTTACTAACCATAGTGTTGCTTATTCATTTAAATGTTTAAAAGCGTTTAACGTCTAAAACTCATAAATTCACTCGATCGATTTTGTCAACACTTTCTTTCAAAAACAAACTAACGGTTGGACTATGAATAATGCGATACTTTTATTTTTGCTTATTGAGACATTTGACCAATATTTGAAGACTCCAGTCTAAGCTCAATAAATAAAGAACTTCCTGCTCTACAAAATCCTGAATATCCGATACTGATATGTTGTTTTATTATTTGCAAAAACAACGAAAAATAAAGAACAGGTAAGAAGCACAACGACGACGATCTGTTAACATTTTAGTAAACTGTTCATCTTTTGAGTAATCTTTTTAATGTGAAAATTGAGAAAGGATGATGTATACAGAAATCTTCAAAAAATCCGGATCTATCTTTTTGGCTAAAAACAAAGTCTTCGAACCGTACGAAATGTCAGGAAAACAAATCAGATACAGAAACGACTCATCATTTGAAATTGTCCGTTATTAGTGATGTAACATGAAAAAAATTTTCATTCACTGATTAATTAAATAAACACAAATTTCTTATACAAAGTAACCATGATGAATTGTTGATAAAAGAACAATATTCAGTAACCAATTAGATTCAGTACAAAAAGAAATCACAATCTTTTATTTCCCACGCAGCTATGCCTCTTACCTATTCTTTTTACTTTGCATTGTTTTTACAAATAATGAAATAACATGTGAATGTCGAATATCAAGGATTTTTTTTTAAGCTTAGAATAAAATTTATCTTCACATTCGTCAAGTGTCTCAAAAAAACGAAAATAACAGTGTTCCATGATTTACGGTCCGCAAATCAAACTCAACGGTAGTCCACGTACGTTACATAATATTTCAAACAAGATTAAAATTGTTTACTTTAGGAATGAATTTAATTTAAGGTAATAAATCGTAATTGCTATGATTGGTCAATAATACTTACTTAATGAATAGGATATCACGATAAACGTATAGGAATTGGTGTATCCGGTAGTTAATTTATCCTTAATAAATGAGTTAGCAAATAAAGGTATATTATATTGAATATATAATGATAAATTTGCTGATTTTAATCCTCGATGTCAATTAAAAATAACATGTAGAAAAAATTTGTAAACACACATACGTGTGTTTGGATCGAATAATATTACTGGATAAATTTTAAAAAAGGAGATAACAGACAAATATCTTTTGAACTAAAATACGCCTTTCAAAAGATCAATGTTTACTTTATACCACATAAAACCTAGAAAAATATTGTAAAAAATCAAATTTTAGAGTTTCAGTTAAAAAAATTAATATGATATATTATTTGTGTCGAATATACAATTGTATAGTTAACATTTCGATATACGTTAAATATTTGTTTTTGTCGATAACCATCTACACATGTTTATTATAATAGAACTATATCCATAAAACAAGAAGGAAAAACAACGACGGGAAAGAAAAAAAAGATAAACAGAATAATCATCAGTTAAAATCGGTCACCATATATGTTTGAGAATAATAACAACAACAGCAACAACAACAAAAAAGCAACAGAGATGTAATTGAGAAAAATAACAACGCGATCAGTGTTTTTTTGAAATGAATAAAAGAATAAGAATAAAAGAACTATAGAGAAGAAAAAGTAGTGAACTAAAAAGAAAGAGAAAGGAAGTTTTATTTTTCAAGAGACCATAAATATCAGTACGTGTACAACAGACAAGCGAACGATTTTTATCACTCTTTATAGAAACGTTTTTTTCATTAGTGAAAAAGTTACTGTTTAAAAAGAACAAAAAAATTTTTTAAATTTTCTTTAACTTTAAAAGTTATATGAGTTTATTTGTTTTATCAAATGTTCAATGTGCTTTATATACTAAAAACGAGTTTCACAACCAGAATAAAACTAACAACTTTTTATCCAAAACAGGAATCAAAAACCACATAAAAAGCAGTATACTTCCATAAAAAGATGTATATCTCGATGTTGGCTTAATCATGACGATAAAATAGGATTACTACATACCCACAATCATAAGAAAAAAAATCTCTCATTGTGTTACATAGATTAAAAACAAAAATGTGCTGGCATAGTATTTTTTATCAATTTTCTTAATCGACGAGCACAAGAAGACAGAGAGAGAAGAAAAAAACAAATAGAAAAACGAATGATAAATAAAAACAATTTTTTCTTTTACTGCTGTACTCTATAACCCCCATCCCCCATACGCACGAGAAAAAAAGAAGATACAAAAATCTGCTTTTTATTGATACATTCACTGATAGATAATAACGATATGTAACGAAATGCGTGTGTTTTTTTTGTCGAAGGAAAACATATTCAGATTTGTTTTATAAGTCCATTTCAAGAAGCACGTCGAATTTTTTTCGTTTTCTGTGATGGGATTGATGGCTGTTTTTCATCATTTTTTATCGATTTTATTTTATTTTCTTTGTTCTAAAAGAGAAAAATCCAATATTTTTATTTAGTTTAACACCTTTACTTTATTATTTACTTTATCCATAGTAGTAGCGGTATTAATCGATTCGACTGCATTATATTTGGTATCATCTTCATTCTCTATCTGATCATGACTGACAATTTCATCTGATTCAGATTCATCTTCATCTTCATCATCTAAAACAAAAATAATTTTTTAGTTAACTTGTTTATTATAAGTACAAATATTTTTTAAGTAAGATGTAGAACATGAAATTTTTTTTTAAACAAGTGATGATTATGTTTAGTTAGACATATATTATATAATCGAGCCGGTGACAGTCATGCATGCTTTTTTGCACCAAAAACTCGATCCACATATAATTATAAACTTCATTTTATACTTTTTGTGAAAGTGTTTAGTTTTTTTTTTCGTCAGAAATAAAAACGAAGTTTTAAGTTTAAAGGGAATTTTAGGGCAAAATGGCTGTTTTGGTACTGTTACCTCCTCCTCCTTACGAGCGATCGGACGGACAGTGCTTCCATTCACTATGGTCATTATGCTATGTGTACATCTAGGAAGAAAGTTTTCATATTTTTGCCCGGTAGGGCAACGCTGACAAGTATTTATTACCTTCATTCTCAACATCTTCTTCGCCACTTTCTTCTCCATTTTCACCAATTCTATCTTCTTCTGGAGCTTTTAGGGATGACTGCATTTCATCATCATCCTCAATTGTTTCAGTATCTAATGTATTTGAATCAACGTCCACCCGTAAATCATCTAAATCGTCTATATCTGCATCATGTGCTTGTTTTTGTTGATCTTGTTTTTCAACTATGTTCGTTTGTAATGAATAGGGTATAATCTTTTTTACACAAACTTTAAATTCTTCCTAGAAATAAACAAAAATAAATCATATTACTATCCATCTTTCTAAGTATCAAGTGACAAACTACAAGGTTGAATGAAAACTTCAATTTTTCATAAAACTAAGACACTAGTGTTCTGACTTGTGTAAATACGTTTAGAAGATTTCTTACTTCAACATATTCTGGCCATTCTCCAATATCATGGACATTAAACGATTTATTATTTGAACCCGTCATTTTTGAGTTTGTTTGTTGTAATTTCCACCAGTCATCATTTGTGGTATACGGATCTGTTGAAACAGGAAGTATTTGACAAATTTCAATTGGTTCTGACGGTTGGTGCTGATGATATTGTAGGTTTGATGACGCTAGTGATGTGGTTATATCTGATTTCATTGTCTCTCTATACCTATTATCGGAACCGTTATGCCTATTAGTCGCACTGGTATGAGTTGGACTTGTTTTTGAATTTACATCATTATTTAATCTCACCGGTATTTTACTTGATGAGCTTTTTTTTTGTTGTTCATTTGAATTTGGAGACACCTGATCACTTTTTGTTTTACGATTACGATTGCTTACCTATAATTTTTAAGGCATACAAGTGAAAAAAGGACGAGTTAGGATAGATGAATTTACCTGTTTACTTGCACCTTGTGTTAACCACTGTCCATCGTCTTCATGATCAGCATCATCATTGTGACCTTCGACACCTTCAACATGTGCTGTATGTTTTTCTTTTTTCAACTTTGTTTCTGTTTGTTGTTGTCCTTGCACAGGTTGCTGTGCTTTCAATTTCGAATCAACTTGTTTTGTCGTAGTCTGTTGTTGTGTCTGATTATTTTCAACATTTCTATTTCCTTGAGCATTTAATTTTTCTCCCGTTTGTTCTCGAGTTCGTTGCTGTTGTTGTTCTAAAAATAAAAACGATAACTTTTAACCATTGACTTTTATTATTGATCTATATAATATCTACCTTTTCCCGTATTTTTATTTTTCTCAGCTATTGTCGACTTTGTTTTACTCTTAGCCCCTTTTGTCACAAATAAGTCTTCTTCATTTTCATCTACACCATTGAAATTTTCTTCGTATTGCTGATGTTTTGACGAACGTTCTTTATTCGACTTCTCTAATGCAACCTGTTTGTTATTAACAGCTTCTTTAACGGTAGAACGTATTTCACCAAGCTGTTTTGGATGCTGAGCATCTTTTTCCATTGATTGTTGTTTTTTTTCAGGAACTTTGCTAGTTTTTGTCGTGGTCTGTTGTTTCGATTGATTTGTCGGAGCAACATCCTTTGATGCCGAAGATTTTGATGGGGATATCTAAAAAAACAAAAAAATCAAAATAAAAGAGAGACTACTTAAGGGTGTAAAAAGGTTAAGAGAGTCGATATATTTTCTCATTCTTGGTAGTACACTTACATTTTGTTGTTGTTTTTGTCCAGATGAACTTTTTTTTGTTGATTTTTGTGGTGGTTCATCCTGTTCTGTACCACTATCAGTTGTTACCACGACTTTTGGTTTTGGCACAGATTTTTTATTCGATGATTTTTCTGTTGATTGTTGTTTTTTATTTATATTTGTTTGATCATTTGTTTTTGATACACCTTTCTCTTCGTTGTTTCCTTTCGACTTTGATCTATGTTTTGAATCTTGTTTTTTTGACGATGCCGAGGAAGATTCTGTTTTTGATGGTGATGAAGGAAAAAATGTTTTACAACCGATTGCATAAATAAGAATTAAACCAAATATAACGGAACCTACAATGCCTAAAATAGGCAATGGTAATAAAACAGCTGTATCAAACAACATCTAAACAAAAGAATAATAATAATAATTGTACATTCAAAAAGTGTTCAGTAAATAAAACATTAGACATTTAAAAAAGTATTCTTTTAACAACTATCTTAAATAAGTGAATTTCGAAGAAAACGTATATATATACTCAGTAGCTCATCCATTCTCGTGCATACGGTTTTATCCTATGCTTCACTCGAATAAGATACTTTCTTTACTCTTTACTTTAATCTTTTTTAGAATGATTTTTTGAAATTCGAATTCACATTATCTCTGCAAGGGAATTTTTTGGGTTCTTCCTGAATGAGGCAAGATACGTAAAGAAATCAAAGAAAATTTCTCCAAATTATCAGTGCTGATCCATAATAATCGTATTACGCAAGGAAAGTAGGAAAAAATCGTGACCACTTTACTTTTTCGAGTAAATTTTTGAACTTATTCAGAGAAGTTATAGCAGATTCTGGGATACAGATTAATCTATTCAGCAACTGATTACAATAATCGCTGGAATCGTCTAACATTCTTTCCAATTTAAAGCTCCAGAAATTATGCAGATATCTGTATTTTAAGTATGTTAAAAACATATCAGTCAGAAATTTAATCTTTGCATTAATATACGACATACATCTCGTACTATATAGTCTATTTATGTTCTTAACAAAACAAGACGAAAAAGAGTTCATCGAAAAGCTTAGATGAATAGTAACAACTAATAAGAGTGGGTTATTGAAAGAAAAACCTATAGTTAATGGTGCATCATCATTTCTAGCTTCAGTCGTCTTTCACGATCGCTGAGTGACTAACTATTGCACGCAAGTGCTGCATTAATATCATTGTTTTTAAATAAATTAAAGAAATGGATCAATGCATAATAAGATAAAACCTGTCCAAAATAGTAAATAATCCTCTGCAACCTACAGATACAAGAGTAGCATCACGACTGGTATTTATTTCCGTGAGTATTCAATCGGTTCAAAATTTAGATAGTTCAAGATGTTTCATTCAGTAGAAAAGATAAGGCTGCCGTAATTAAGATCATTTGCTCTAAATAAACAAATACTACATTTCTAAATAGAGAAGTTGTATTATGATATTGACATGGTTAGATATAATACAAAAAGCATGCGAGCTTGTGCGCATGATAATAACGCCTTCTCTTAGCATTGATATCATATTGTAAGTGATCAACAATTTTACCAATCGTGTGTAAGCTATAGAATGTCTTCGTGTAATTCTTAACTTAATAAAATAGAACTCACTTTAATCATAATCTGCTACTGTAGATAAACGTAGACTTTTTCGTCATGATTCATTTTCGGGCGAATTAATTTTTATAGAGGGTACCATTCGGCAGTGATACTGTACTACCTGGAACATCGCCCTCAAATGTTTAGACGGATAATTCGTCGATAGAAGTTTCGAACTCGATTTTAAAATGACTGTCGTGAATTCGAGTACGCTAATCGTCCATTTCCATTATGTCGCTAGTCGACTATAATTAGTAGAGAAACCTGAACTCTTTCGACAATTCAAACAACTTGCTGTTACAGTACACTATATTTGATGTAAAAGAATTATTTAAAGTTATTTAGAGATTATGCAAGTGGGCGGGTCAACAAATCGAATATTAACTGGTTGTGTTTACTGCTAATAAACAACTATTTCATGATGATAGTTTTCATCCCTTTTAGCTTCAAACAGTTGGTCCAAGAAGAGACTGTCTGTATCAATTCGCATTAATCTGCCTCCTTGGAGCTACTATTTGGAGCTAAAAGGAAACAATGGCCTTATTCTGTAAATTTTAAGTCCGTGTTTTATACCACTAAAGCGAGTAGGCTAAGATACATGTAGAGCAAATACTACGAGCGAATCAACTCAACGAATTCAAAACAATTGTATTGATGACAGGGTTGTTTCGAACTTTTTCTCGTGGCGCATCTTGTCCAATGGCCGCTGTTTTAAAGATTGGTCAGTCAGAAAAATCATTGACTACTCTTTGTTTATCACTCTATTATCTGAAAATTGTAATTTTGGAACTGACTATGACGGACGGGTAAATATCACAAAAGTGAGAATACTGAAGATACTTGAGTGAATAAAATAGCAGCCATCTTAATAGACCCAGAATTTACGATATATATTGGTGCTCGCGAGCTGTAAGAAATAGCCGTCAATTAATGGCCCATTTTAGAAAATGATAGTTTTAAAAAAAATTGCATGGCGAAAGAACAGAAGAAATAAAACAGTATTGAATTGAATTTGAAGTTCAAGACTGGTTGCTTTAAACAACTAGTGCATAAAACTGTGACTTTGAGCACATGTTCGAGAGAAAAACAGAGTTTTCCACTGCGATATTTACCAGGTCTCGATAGATCGAAAGTGGTTGATCAATCCGTTTATTATGATCCGACTAATGAGAGCTCTTCGTAAATCTGATGACGTCTACATATTGGGCGAGAAAAGGTTGCCGTTTGTTCAGGTGAGGGCTGCTCCCCTCCCCTGGGGATTTTTTTGAACTTTCTGGCAAAATTTTTGACGTTTTTCTACCAGCAACTTTCTGCCAAAAATTTCGAAAACTTTTTTCGCCAACCACTTTCTGCGAAACAAAAGTTTTGTCCCCCCATCCCTAAGCTGGTCCCTCCCTGATCGGGAACCCTGCGTTTGTTTTTGGCATCACGCGCTTAATAAGAGCGGTTAAGATCTATCTTTGGCTGATTTGTGAAGGACGTTATTAGAATTTGCTGAATGATTTTCTAATACATGCCACTGTACGTTTGCTGAGTAAAGAAAAGAATACTGCGTGAATGTATAGTAGAATCAAACGATGTTTTTACTTATTTTAGATATTGATAGTTGGCATATACAAAGAGAAACAGTGTTTATTATTTATTGTTGCTGTGAATGAATTATATCGTACAATGTGCACTTTCATTGTTGTGTTTGTCAATATCTGAATGTAAGTTGTTAGTCGTCGGTACATCCTCGAAATTAATTTAGATCTGATTGTTTCTAGTATCTGCAATTGATTTGGTTAAACATGGTATTAAACGTTACAATGTAATTCAATATGTTCATGACAATGTGGAACAGCATTACCGTTCAAAACGTTCTACCGATGAATATAAGTTTAACCCAAAACGTATCTTAACCCTTGAATTATTCGACAAGTATGTTCTTAAATAACCATGAAATGAAATTATTTGTTTCTTTTCTTTAGAAATATTACTCTTATTCTCAAACAGAATGATGAATTTTTAGCAACAAATTCCATTCACTTAGGCGATGAGCATGTGCCATTCGATTCGTCAATACTCTACGAAGGATACGTTGATGGTATGTTTTCTTGAATTTGTTAGATGTTTTCAATAGACCATGCACTGTGTTCTGAAGTAAGTTTATAGAAAATAAAGAATTCGTTATTATAGGCATTTATATAAGTAATTGATTGTTTAGTAAGTAATACCTATCAAATTGTTAAGGAATTGATTAGTGCTAAGGATTACCGGTTTTTCTTTTCATTTGCTATGTGTGCATATTAATGATTAAACTTTTTTAATTTTTTAACGGAAATTTTAGACCGCTTGTTGCATATTTTTGATATTTAAAGTTAAAACTTCTGCTTTTTTTGCAGTACAATGCTTTGAGCTTTATCTTTTCGTTTTCATATTGAGCAAAGTTTAGTCACCTCTTTTGTTTAATGAAAGTACCGTGAAAGAATAATAATTCGTTATGCAATAAAGCAACGTTTTAGACAATAACAAAGCTATAATGAATGATGTATGGAATGGCTTCGCTGTTAGTTAAAAGACGCTCTGCATTTAGCAGTTTTTTTCTTTCAATTTTGTCATTTAAGGTTATCCTTCTACGTCATATGTGATAGGTGGTTTTTACTCATCTTGGTTTGACGGTGTTATTAAATACTCGAATGAAACATATCACATTGAACCAAGTATAAAATATTCAAAATCTATTCCCGGTGTATCAATTATTTATAATGCGTTGGATGTAATCAAGCCCGATAAAAGATCATTTCGATCTAAACGTTATGTTTTCAACGAAGAACATGATAGTTCATCCTTTTGTGGTTTAAATAACAAACGTAGAGAACAAATGAACGTTGAAGCACAACGATTGAAAACACATCACACCGTACGCAGATGAGAAATATTTTGTGTTGATTGTTATTTTAGACTTTAGTTATTGTTGTTTTTTGCAGAGTTCAACAACATTGAATAATGATGATGATCAAAATGATAATGATTTTAAATCACGTTATACCAGTCGATCAAAAAGAAGTAGTAATTCTGAGAAAACATGTTGTTATATTTACATAAGAGTGGATCCTACACTATGGGATATTATATATAAAAATGAAGGTTTAAATGTAAGTAAATACATACATGCTTTTATTAGATAATCTGTTACAATTATATTTTTAGGATAAAGAACCAACAATTCATGCTATCGTGACATTTTTATATCGTACGGTGACCGCTGCTAATGCACTTTATCGAACGCTCAAATTTGAATCAAATGGTGAAACGTTGCATCGATTTACAATTCGTATCAAACGGATTCGAGTACGTATGGAAAAAATACTGCAGTGTTATGACTTTTTTAGTTAGATGATGAACAATATGAGAATTCATATCATGTTTTAGATACTTACTCCTACTGATTGTTTGGCTAAAAACTTGAGTATATCTGAAACGAATATTTGTCGTTCATACTTGGATTCAAATGTTCTTTTAACATGGCATTCGGCTGAAGATTTTCAAGAATATTGCTTAGCCTATATATTTGCTGCGCGTGATTTTGGTGATGGAACATTGGGACTAGCATGGATGGGTAGTGTAGCATCAAGTATGATCTATTCAATTCATATTATCTTCTTACAACTACTTGTTATATATTTTTCAATTTTCAGACAGTCGCGGTGGTATTTGTGAACAACCAGCTCGGGACATTTACGAAGGTGAACGAGTATTAAAAACACTTAATACGGGAATGGTGACGATAATTAATCATAACACAAGAACATCATCATTAATGACAGAATTAACATTTGCGCATGAAGTTGGTCACAATTTGGGAGCAGAGGTAGTTTTCTTTCACATCATTTAATCAAAGAAATAAGAGATCTGAAATTTTAGTAGAAATAATCACAAATTCTTAGTGCTACGATATTAAAGTTTTGTTCAAAAACTTATCTGACCTTTTGTAGCATGACGACGAAAAATGTGGTGGTGACTCAACTCATGGTCATTATATCATGTATCGACGTGCGACAACAGGACTGGAAGATAACAACAATAAATTTTCAAACTGTAGTATGGAAAAAATGGGTCCTGTGATGATTGCTGTTAAATTGGGAAAAGAGAAAAAAAATTGTCTTACTGGTAAGTTATTATGTAGATAATGTCTCAAAAAATCTTCGATTCTAAATTAACGTTTTATTTTAGAATGTACACAAGTTGGTTATTGTGGAAATCGAAATGTTGAAGACGATGAAGAATGTGATTGTGGCTTCACTGACGAATGTACAGATAAATGTTGTTATCCGGCTGGCGGTCCAAACGCAAAACTTGGATGCAGATTAAGATCAGGATCACTTTGCAGGTGAGCAAGAATGAAACTCAGACGTTTCTGAATCCATAAATGAAAAAAAAACTTTTTTTAGTCCTTCAAAGGGTCCCTGTTGTTCTGATGATTGTACATTTCAAACTAACACACACATATGTCATAGAGACACGACAAATCAAGAATGTATTGGAAATGTTAGATGCGAGTAAGTTAGACACATATTTTCCGCTATAAGGTTGAGTAAAGTAAATAAATTCGATGACTTTTTTTTAGTGGTATCCGCGCAACTTGTCCAATGAATGATACAAAGTTTTTCAAATCAGAGAATACACCATGCAATCAGAATACAGCGTTGTGCGAAAAAGGGGTGCGTATTTTTTAGATTGCTCCATCCATTCGACCTAAAAATCACAAATCAGAATCTTAAACTTGTACTTCAGTGCAAATACATTAAGTTAGTCTTGGGGAGTGTTCTTGGATGTATTGGTCGCTAATTAACATACGTGATGCGTGTACCGACAAATTAGATTAAAAACTAGTTGAAATAATTATAGAATTCTGTTTTGCATTCTAATTCTGGAATGCTTTTATCTCTGCCAATGTCTTATTCCTTGTTTTGTTCTGTTTTTTTAGCAATGTACAAAGTCGATTTGTACTTTAATTAATCGAACAGAGTGCACTCTGACCATTTCAAATGTTGCTGAACCTCTTCGACAACGTGGCATCGACCGTGAATATTTATGCCATATTGGCTGTCTCGATGGTAATGAATGGAAAAATGATTTTCTTTTTATACTATAGTAACGAAAGTATTTCTTCTATTTTTTTCAGCACGGACAAATACGTGTGTTGATACGTTAACACTTGGTATGCGGAATAATGCGACAATAGGTGGTTTAGGATACAAACATCGGCCAGGTTAGTAGTGGTAGAAGAATGAAATAGAGAGTTCTTTTATTGAAAGCAATCATTGTACTATAGGTCATGCATGTGCTGGAACCACTGGTTACTGCGATGTATTCGGGAAATGTCGAGCAGTTGATGCTGATGGACCATTAACTCGACTGAAAAATATGTTATTAAACGAAGAAAATATTAGAACATTCACACAATCAGTTAAAGTAAGAAAAACCGGTTGTCTGTTTGAAATAACACATAAAAAGAAGTCTCATATATTGACTTTTTTAACGTTTTTTTTATAAAACCAAGTATATCTAATATAATTGGAAACATTTTTGTAAAATCATTTTACAAAAATGTTTTTCAGTTATGTAAGAAGTCTCACATATGAAGAAAGAACTAACGTGCGTAGATTTCGTTTAGAATATGTATCACTTTAAATGCTTATATTAACAGAAAGCTCATTTCCTTTCTTAGTGGACTTGTTTCACAGACTTTATGTCCACTTACTTGTTGTAACATAATTTGTAATTATTTTAGGAATATTGGTGGGCATTTTCTCTTGGTTTATTAGGTGTTTCATTATTGATGAGTATATTTATTAAAATCTGTAGTGTACATACACCCTCTTCGAACCCAAGGCGAAAACCGGCTAGAACATTGTCAATTAAACGAGTAAATGAAAAACTCAGATAATTTAAGTCTGAAGTAACCTGTTTTTTTTCTTTTCATCTTCATTTAGGCACGTGCTCGCACAAATGCTTTTGTATCTTCTCCACCGTTGCCAATGTCGAATGGTGAACATTTAAATTTGCAGTCTCGCTTATTTGTTAGACAATCATCGTCAAATAATAATCATGATCGTTTACATCATCATATGACTAATACGGCACATTTGTAATTTTTCATGTTTCTTTTGTCTTTTATATGTTACCGCAAATATTTCAATGAATTTATTCGTATGTATTTTTATTTTTGAACAGTATATTGTAGCGATATTTTTGATTACTGTTCGATCAATTGTTTTCTTCTGTTGCTCATTCGAGATATATTAGAGAACTAAAATCTTTTTTTTTTCACATTTCCATCGGCTACAGTCAGAATATGGTTCAATTTTTTTCTAGAGTTAACCTGAATGAGATAAAATGTCAGTTTATATTAAATTAGTTTAGTTCGATTCTTACCTTACAAAGTGACAATTTTTGTCTTTGTAATACGGTCAGATATATCTCCACATATAAGACTTTGTATTTTAACATGTCTTTTTCTGTTTTTCTATCATCCTCGATTAAAAAACATAATTTTACTCGTTCACTCTTTCAAACGGTATTTGATTCTTGCTCATCAATCTTGTGCAAATGTGTTTTTTTTCTTTTCCATGGGTTTAATTTGAATACCGAATAGTTGTAAACAATTGACAGCCCTTGACTTTTTTTTATTATAAGAAAACAGACACTTTTGTTGTTTTTGTATAGCTTTTACTTTCTCTTTTCTGTTATTGAATAATAAAAAATTAATTAATCTTGTTGTTATATTTTTTCAATGTAGTTATTTCCTCTTGTCTCGTGTAAAGAAAATTACCTTCATCTATCTATTTAACACTTATCGCACCCAAAATACATGAAAAAAGAAACGAAAGTCTCTCCGCAATTCTTCAGTCAATTTTTGAGATGCCATTAGTTTCAAACAATGTGCTGGGAAAGAACAAATTCATGATTATTTCTGAAGATGTCTCGTTTTGCAAAATTTTGCAAGATGAGGTTGTTTTACCTACATCTGGTGCTTATTAACCCGTAGACTTCCACATTTATTTGTCAAACGTGGATAGAGACAAAAAGTACTTCACAAAAGTAGGGGTACCACTAGATCTCAAGCATTCTGACTACTAGTGGTTTCAAATCGTGTATGGATGTAGGCCTCTCATAAGCCGATTACCCAGCCAATTTGACTGGGTGGTTCTTGAGATATAAAGGTTTCATGTTTTTTGCGTAAAATGCTAATAACTTCTGATCCAACGGCGATAAAAATTTTTCGTTTTTTACCAAAATGTAACCATCATTTTTCTCTATCTACAATATGAATTTAAGGTGTTGGATGTTGATGGTTACTGAAACATACCTATTTTACCATCGAGAGTCACCTTCAAAATTTGATATCCTTTTTAAAGAAAATTCATAATTCAAAACCTAGGAGCATTATTTTGACTCAAAAATGGCACCTCTGCAATGTGTCCAGATTAGTCACATAAAATAGCAAGATTAACTATAGTTTGATTGCAGAAATCCATTGAGAATGAGTAGACACTAATATAACATACATGGAGAGAGGAGCATATGTGTTACGCAGGAAGTCTAAGACTTAAATTCTAGTTGTATGGGACTAAAATGATTGCATCCGGCTTGATTTCAACAATTACCTCATAATTACCTTAAAAAATTAATCAATTATCAAATACTAGACATTAATTAATATTGATACTGTTAAGGAGAAATTTAACTACCTTAGAAGAACGATTTGTTTAACAAAAGTCAAACATTTTGTGTCTAATATTTTGTATACATTACTATTAGAATATAAACCTTCTTCGAATAAAAAAAACAGGATCTGTTCTAATATTATCAAAATTTGCTTCTGATTATTATTTAATGAAACTTATCGAACTAATAGTTAAATTGTTTTTATCACTAGTTAACTTGTGTCTGAAATATCTCATGTTTGTCAATTGATTGCGTTAGTGTTGTTTATTTCTGTTGCATTAACCACTATAAAAAAAGTTAGTGAATTTCATTTCTCTTGCTGATTTTTCTATTATTTCTGCTTATTTGTTATGTTATCGATATTTTATGCTAAACTCGTTTTAAAAATAAGAATAATAGAAAGAAAATTATCACAATTGTGTTTGTTGAAATAGTTGGAAAGATGATTTATCCTTACGTCCTAATTGGAAAGAAATGTTTCAGCAATATTAAACAATAACTTTTTTTTCTTACATTCTCACTGAAAAAGATACGAGAAACCGGTTAAAAATTACATGAAATTTGCTAAATAGAATATTTTGATTCTAAGAGAAGTGTTACAGATAGTTTCAACTATGATCACCTACCTGTTTGGTTAGAAATTGTGCTGTGTAAGAAACCAACAAACATATTACAGAATGGTAAGTACATTTTAATAGTTTTATACAATGTGTAAAATATTGTATTAGTAAAATCAGGCTGTACTTTAATAACATAGTTTATCAATCTTCAGAAGTGATCGATTTATTATTTGTTTTAGATAACATTTAGTTGCCATTTTTCCATCATTTTGTGTTCGTTTTTGAAAGTTTTAAGAATTGATTGGTAAGTTGAAATATTGATAGCAGAACTTTATAAGATAATGTCTTTGTGTTTATAGAACATGCGAGCAAAATGGCGTAAGAAACGGTAAATGAGATAGTTAACAAATATATTTTTGAACGTTATTTGTATATGAATTTTTGTTTTAGTATGCGAAGACTTAAACGTAAACGACGACGTATGCGAGAAAGATCAAAATAAAAGTGAATTAAATGTCAATAATAACGTGAATTGGAATGGAAATATGATCAAGAAAATTTTAAAATATGATCTTTGTTTTGTGTTTGGACATTTTGCTCAATTAAATATGTTTTGGGTATTGTTATTCATGTTGTTTTTTGATAGTTAATAAAATAAAAAAGAATAAAAATAAATGACACTATTTTCCGACTTTGTTCTTCGCTTTCATATGAACAATGTTCTGTTGAATACTATTTAAACAATGATGGTAAAATAGTTTTTGAAAACTATTTGTTATTTCGATTTCAAATTACATTTCTCGTTAGATAACATAACTTGAACGAATAAACATTAAGATATGTACATATTGACGGATTCCATCAGTATTGCTTTGTGGATAAATTTTCGCTCGTGTTAAATGATTTGACACGTAGCTTATATCTTTCTAGGTTGACTACTCTTATTGATAAATTTTTTTATCCAAAACTCCATAACGAACTCCATAAACAATGCTGGATTTTGTGTAGGTACATTTTTGTAATTGTGAAAGTTTAGTGGCAAATTTAGATGAAATGCAGTGGATTTATAATGCTTGTTTGTATATTGTGTAAAACAGGCGAATTAGATTGTGAGAACAAAGGATGGCAGTCGATAGTACAATATATGAAGAAAGGTACACATCATGAAAAAATTAAAGAGTTGAAAGAAAATACCACATTCGTTTTCTCCAACATCTTCGTCTCATACAGTCATAACTTTATCACAAAGTTCATCTACATTCACCATTTAAATTAGAATAACTTTTTGCTGTGTTTTTCTCAGTTTTTTACGCATAAAACACGGAAAAAAATACTTTAAGTGGGATGAAATCATTTCTTTGAGATTCTTAAGCCACTTTGACGTGTGCACAACATTGTCAGTACCGATTTTTGGCCCAAAAAATGACTCCTCTCTTTCTCCTTTTTCCCCTATGCTCCTCTAAAAAAAATTTTAATGTTCCTCTTTTTTCTAAAAGGACCGTTACGAAGCCAGAATGCGGTAATAACAGTCGTTCCCACCGGAGAAGGATAGTTTTTGTGTTATTGGAACTATATATCTACTTTTTTTCGTAGAACTATACCCAAGGGTAAACTCTTTCAGATTTGTCGCTAGAAATAAAAAAGTCTCGAAAATTTTTTGCATTTTACCATTGCCAGACTAGTTTATAACCTGAACAGATAGGTTTATCCTAGTATTCATCATGCTTTTTATCACAAAGATTAGGGGTATTTGGTACCATCTGTAAAAAGCTAATATCGTGGTAAAATACAGATGGCAACGTTGAAACATATTTACCATCTGCTCCAGTTAAAGGGCTGCTAATTCAAATATAAATCATATTATCAATTTGTATTATATTTCGATATTGACCACAAAGAACCATTTATGATAGTAGGTAAACACCGAGTTTTCTGATAAGTAACGTTTCCATGCTGCGTTCACCTAAGATCAAAATTTATAACTCACTCAAAAAATGTTATTATGGTCTGGACGTTTGGAAGTATGGGTACATTTTTCTAGAATCAAAATGAATTTAAGGCGATAAGTAAAACACGAAGAGCCTTTTTGAGATTCTCTTTCAAATTACTAGGATATATTCATCATACTTTCTTTCTTTCCTTTTCTCTTCTTACAAAATTGCATCATCTGTAAAGGGTACAGGTTGTAGTGCTTGTGTGTTAGAGAACAGACGATGATTATAGTAGGTACATTTCACCGACTTGTCTATAACGTCTGTTTTTGGTTGATTTTTGCAATATAGTTATAAAGTTATGCAGAAAAACAGGAGGAAAAATGATCTTCTCTGTTGGTTCTTTTCATTGTCTTTCTTGATCCAGAAATATCTCACTAAATTGTCTACAGTTTATGCACAGAAGTCGGTTTCACTTGTCGCCTTGCATATTTCTCGTGGCGTCGTTGCCCTCTAACTGTAAACTATTGTTTTATTCAAAGATTTTAGTAGAAACTCCGTCGAAAAATCATAAAATTTCTTTGATTTTGTATCTTTGCCATTGATAGAAAATAGAATAGTCTAAATACCGTACATTCGAGAACTTTCAAATCAATAAATTTTTTGCTTTAGAGAAAAAAAGAATTTTTTACTAGAATAAATGTACACATATTTTTATTATTCTTTTCTGGTCTTAAAAAGTAGTTATTTATAAACTAATAATAAAAATATTCGAGGAAAAATTTAACTAAGAAATTGCGCAGTCTCACGGGCTTATCATATTAATTATTAACAGTAAGCTTCATTGTATGTTAACAAATTAACTTACATTTTTTATTATTTTTTTAAAAATAAGTTGAACAACAACATACAACATTATTCAATTTCGTTAGAGATTCCACGCCTTGAGACTTTACACTATAAAAAGATAAATTTAATATTCGAGGGATGTCTAATCATTCTTCTCAAATAATTAAAAGACTTTAAGAAAAAAAAATCTATGTTTATATCTTAATAACGGACTATCAAAAGTATTCTTACCAGGCTTTTCGAATTCTCTAATGGAGTGCATAATACTCCGACACATTTTGAGAAAAATAGAAACATCAGTTTTTTTCCTAGTAGCTAAATAAATTATGAAATAGACTTAAAAATAAAAAGATTTATTTTAACCGGAAATAATTGACATTTTTTTCTCATTTCACTCTTCTATCCTAATGAGATGTTAATTTGAACAAATTTGTTTTCTAAAAAGTATATATAGTTGATATTCTCAAAAGAACGAGAAAGAAACGATGTTTTCAAAGAAAAAAGCAGTAAATTTTTAAACATACGAGGGGGAAGGGGGAGGAGTAAAATATCCGAAGACTGCATTAAAATAAGAAAATATAAAAGATCTGCTTTATTTCCAGGATCATCGCTGTTAAGCGTCGCTGTGTATGTACATTATTCTGACGTCAAATGATTGTCAATTACAGTCTTAGTAATAAGAACAAAAATCAGAATAATAATTATAAGAAGATTTTTAAAGATGAGCAATTACATGACAGATTAACGAAAGAGAAAAAGAGTAACAAAAGTCATAACGTAGAATTTTTTTTAGCAAGCAATTGGTTGTGGTTGATTAACATGCATTCCATTTCCATTTCCATTACCATTTTTGTCCACTTCTTGATGATGTTGATAAAACTTGTGACCAGTTGGATCATCGTGACGAAATACGAATGTTGAACGATTTGTTCTATAACATAATAAGAACAATAGAATTTCACAGAAAGTGAAGAGTAAACACTTACTCTAATAAAGCGGCTGGACATGGTTCTACAGCTTTGGGTGTATATTCAATGCGATACATTGTTGCATCATCAAATGGAGCTGCCGATGTATACGCTGCTCCTTCTGGTTTGAATGATCGAGATGGTCCACCTTGATGAGGAATATAATGACCTAAAATACACTCATATATTTAAAATCAACACTGATTCGACTAAATGATATATTGTTTTGTATCTCGATTAAACTGACCTTTGTATGTACTCATTCCTTCAAATGGTACACCTGGTGGTTCATATCCTGATTGTGCCCTCATTGATGGTGGTTTTGCACCAGGCCATTTTCTATAATCTCCCCCATAGGTTGTATCAGCTTGAAATTTCGCATCAATCATACGTCGTTCAGTAGGTCTAATAGCATTGACTTTTTGCATAGGTTTGTGAGTATATTCTGTACTATACATTGTGTTTAAATCCATATCACCCGGTTGAGCACGATATTCATCTGGTTTACGTTGTTGATTTGGTTGAATATCCCATTTTTTAAAGTCAGATTTATTCGTTGTTGAATCATCAAAACGAGCATCACTTCGGTAACCTTGTTGATCGGGTTTCATCGAACGTGTTCGATCTCCTAAATGAACAATTTAAAAAAAAGTTGATCTAGTGGTAAATAATATAAGTAAAATTCTTTGAGCACCTTCTTTTGGTGTAAAATCTTTACGATTTGTTGTTAATGAATCTAATGCAGCTTTGGTGGGAGTATATTCTTCTTTTGTTCGTTGAAAACGTTCTTGCATCGGATGTTTAATGTAGTCTGTACGATAACCAGTTCTATCATCGAATGGTTCCACAGATTGTAGTACGCCTTGATCAGGTCTGATTGGTTGCCGTACACCAGAACCATGTTTCAAAAAATCAGTGGTATATGTACTTTCACCTTTGAATGGATCTGCCGGTGGAATCTAATTAAAAAAGTTTATTTAAACTCCAGGAATAATAATGAGTTTTTCTTAGTGTCTTACCCAGCCGGCATCATGCCGAATTGCTTCTGTTCTTGCACCATCCCATTTTCTATAATCAGCTGAAAAATTAAAATAACAAAATGTAGTTTTTTTTTACAATAAATCATTGAAAAAATTTATAAACAAAACAAACCTCGATAAGTTGGATCTCCTTGGAATGGAGCTGATACTGTTTTTTGCCCTTCGTGTTTAATCATTTTTACTCGTTCACCAGCTTTTGCTGTAAAAAATAAGGAAACATTATTGAAAACATCGCGAGCACCGACTCATTCATACGGGTGTATTCTTTATTGTAACTTGTCAGCGCATCAAAATCACCCATAGGAACGTACACTTCTTCCGGTTTAAATGACTTTTGTCGATCAAGAGCATGTTTGATATAATCATGTCTACAAGAATAGTAAAGATTTTTAACTATCTGAGAGTTAATTTTCGGAAATCAAAAATTCATTACTTATGTGTTGTTTGATCATCCATTGGAGCATTATTAGTCTGTACTGAATAATCGGGTTTGAATGATTGTCTCATGCCGGTTTCTCTTGGAATAAATTCGGTGCGATATTCTGTCGCCGGACATGGTTGATCACCTTTTCCGATGATTCCAAATGGACGATGAGGACAGCGATGGTGCCTATGAGAATAGTAAAGTTCAACTAACTGCTTAAAGATATTAACAACTTGAAGTAAATAGAATACACGCATGATTGCAACAAAATCCTATCTGACCGTTTTCTCAGGAGAATAAAACTAGTGAGATGCAGATTTTAGTATGGATAAAATAGTTCTTAAAAAACGGAGTGTTTAAAACTTTCTATATGGACGCAGTTTCATATAGCTTTACTCAAACCACACTGTATTAGATTCACAATTGGAAACACACTTATATCTTCTTGCATAAACTTTAACGAATTCTTGAATGGTGATGTATATACAAACAAGCAGCCATAAATTTAAATTACTGTGGTGACAAAAAGTACAAAAAGAGAGTTAATCATATGTTTACGAATGTTTTTTTCATTGTTGAGAGTAGTGAAGTACTATAATTCTAGAGTAGTAACTTCTATTCCGTTTCTGTGGTTTAACACAGTTTGAGTCAGATAAGATTCTGACAAATGATGATAAAAAGTATTGAAATGAATCAGATGCATTCTTTACAATCGATAAAATTCCATAAGTAGTCAAGTAATATTATTTCAGAAAGATGAAAGTGATATTCATCCTTTTCATATGTAAATTTGTTATTACTTTCAAATAAAAATGTATTCAAGATACTGTTAACTTAATCAAAACTGCAGCAGCTTGTTGCATTTTATATGCGTAAGATGGAAAATGTTGTTCCTATCTCCATTCTTTTATCAATGAAAACGTATATAGTGGAAATAAAAGATAAAGAAACAGCTGCACTTCTTAACCAAATAGTAAAAAATGCAAGATTTTATCTTTTCAAGAAGTGAAAAAAGAATCTATTAGCAATTATCCGCCATCAGACAAATGTTCTTTTTGACTACTCAGTCATCTTCTCTACATCGCCATGAGAACACAATCACTTTACTGCGATCTGCCTTGTTTCGGCCTTACGACTAATGAGTTTTCTGGGCAATAAAAAAGTCAGTCTAAGGATTATTCGAATTTAAAAATAAATGCTTTAGTTAATATTTCAAATGTTCGAATGAAGATATATTTTCGACAAAGATGATACGGAGAAAAGAATAAAAGCGAGAGAGAGAGAGGGAGAGAGAGAGAGATGCTCTGGTTAAGGAAAGTAATTTTTATAATTCTTAGCAAAAAGAATACTTTTGCAAGCGAATTTAGAGAATAAATGATTTGATAATCAGTCTAACCTAAAGAGTTGCTTGGTGTTGAACAACGGTAACTATGGTAATAAAACTTAGCAAAATCGATTTTGCGACTGAAACATAATTTATCACTCGAAAATGTTACTTGATATTGACATACCCGCAAGTACATATTTGGCAAATACATTGTTTTGTCATCTTCTTAGAAATGGTTGAGTGGTTGGTACACACACACGCAAATACTTCCTTTCCTTTTTCTTCTTCTTCTTGTGTTTTTATTCAACTATATCACAGCTATTAAAAAAATGTTAATAATAACATTGACACTTTACAAGATGAAGAAGAACACAAAATTGTGATCGTTTGTTGATCATGAAATTTATTCAAAGTCGAATTAGTTTGATGGCCAATACACAGAAAGTCTAACTTTAGTTGCCTAGCTATTGCCATTACTATGATCTTCATCGATCACTTATTTTGAGATAACCGTTTAATAAATTAAATTTTATAATTCAGATAATTGTCAAATTATTATCTAAAAGAAAAAATTTAGAAAAAAAAAACACGTATATTCACAGGTGTCGCTTTACATCAGAAATTACGCTCGCGCAAACCACGTCTAGACGAAACAACGATTCTATTTGGTTGACAAGAAATATTTTCCATTTTTCATCTGTTATGTTTCATCTAGAGATCAGCGGGGTCCAATTTTGTAGCCCCGAAACCCTCCCCGAAGCCCGAAGTTTTTCTTTTACATGACCCCGGCCCCGACTCCGGAAAAACCCGAAAATTTTCTATCCACGAGAAGCATCGTATGCACATGGCGACATTTTGGTAGAGACATGGAGTGTATTATCTCTATCATTTCCTTTTGATTTTCTTTTGTTACAGCAGCTTTATATTTTGATGATCAGATTATCTGGTTTTGTTTGTTTATGTATCCATTTACTAACTGTGAAAATAAACATCCTTGTAATATAAAATAACGAAAAGCATTTGCCGGGGTATACCGGGGAATGTTCTAAATCCCCCACCCCGATTAAGACCCCGAAAATTTTTCTTTTTCAGCCCCGGCCCCACCCTGCCGGGGTCGGGGACCGGAGTCAGGGTATCCCCGCTGATCCATAGTTTCATCACATTATAGAGCAAAAGAATTCTTCTTACTGTACCCTATCACGAATTTTATACCCTTCTACTATCACTAACCATTCTCTTTTAAGAACCCTGAATTTTACGAGAGCTAGTACAGCAATGCTGTTATCGGCAGAAATCTTCTATTTATATCAACTTGCGATCCAAGACTTTTGTATGAACTATGTCTTGTCACTTCACGTTCTATCAACCATTTACCTGATTCGGCCTAGATCTCATTTCTTCCCGAATGACTTCATAAATTGTTTTGTAATTGATAGTTTCATCACAATTACTATCCAACAAACAAGTGTTGGTTCATAGAATAGCAGCGGAAACGAGATCCACTTTTGCTCACTACTCACAATGAACACATCTGATTATACATTTCTTTAGCTTACAAACTGTTTTGATTATTTTGTCAACCATCGTAATGATGCCCTTACACATTGCAGGATAAGTGCTGTACTTTACCGCTCGCTCTTTGATTATCTGGCATCATAAACAAATAGATACATGATACTGTGTCAACCTAAACCAAGAAAGAACGCATACAGCGATTATTTAACCATAACACAGAAATAATATAATTTAGTTTCATCACATCAGACGCGTTGAATCATTGTTGTGTGGTCACTCGGCAAAATTAGCGTTAGGATTTGCTTTTATCGCGTTCAATAACCATCCAGGTAACAAAAAATCTTTAAATGAATGATGCAACAAGACAAATACCCAGGAACCGGTCAGCACGTTTTCAGCACTAGATACTGCTTTCCATTTCTATCAATATTCCGCATTGGAAACTGTGCCACGGATGGTTTTACTCCGCACAAGAAACTGGGATATAAGTAAATATGAGATGCCCGATAAAACTGTTCCCAATCGAGCACCTTTACTAATTAAAAATTTCGAAATACTCATGAAAAATAATTCGTACATTTGTTTTACGACTGGATTTTTGAGTTTCAATATTTAGTTGCAAAATAGATGCACGATGTAACTATCATTAGAAAAGGGCAAATTATTAATATAGGAGGAAATTTGAGTCTCATTACTGAAATGATCTGTTTTTCGAAAACAGTGTCATGAAAAATGAATCGAATACCTAACACAGACACGCAAACAATTTAACAAATCATATGATCTTGTCTTTCAACGCAACTTAATCATACAGCATATTCCATAATGCTTTCTACGTGTTATTTTTAATATCACATACGAAGATTTGCAAATACATCAGACATACTTGTATTTTACAAAAAAATGTTTATAGGACTATTGCTTATAAAAGTTTAAATATAAGAGCACACATAAAAAACTTGTCAAAAAAATTAAGAGCAACGAATATATGTACAGTCTGTTTTTCTGGATACATTGTGCGAGTTTTACCAAACGAAACACTGTTTTACTGACTGTTAAAGAAGTATTTTAAAATAACTCTGAAGAATCAGAAACAAATGTCATAAAATAAATTGCTATTGTAATAAAAACAACGATATTTCCAGCCATAATGAAACCCATCGAACCAGGAAGAATCTAAAATGATAAATGTATCTCATCAAATTTATTTTTAAGTTATGTTGTCTTCGTCTTTTACTCAAATCTCTCGATAATACCTATAAACAATCATATTCTTATTTTAAAATCTATCGTATGTATATTATTTTTATTAGTTTTAACTGGATTCGTACATTATTCATTAAAAATGAATCTAGACACCTACCACTTGTGTTCTACATAATACAGCTGGTAAACCAAATGCTGATACGATTATAATAGCTATAAAATAAATGAGAAAATCAAGTTATAACGTGACATGTACTAGTCACATTTTTTCCACACACTTGTTAAAAACCACATTAAATCCATGCAGGGAGACGATTCTCTATCATAATTATTCGCACATTGTCGACCAATCGACAATGGTATTGGACAAAGAACATAAAAAATAATCACAAATGTACCCCACCAATTACTAGAAACAATAAAATGTTTGTTTAATGTTGACACTCGTTAAAAGGAGACAATCTTAACAGTGTTCCCGATCAGGGGTGGGTGGGAGTGGAGGCGCCCCTCTCCTGAAAACTTTTTTGAATCTTCTGACAAAATTTTTGACGTTTTTCCACCAGCAACTTTCTGTCAAAAATTTCGAAATTTCAAAAGTTTTTCGCCAGCTACTTTCTGCGAAGCAAAATTTTTAGCCCCTCCCATATCTAAGAACAATCGGAAACCCTGAATCTTAAAATCAAATAATTACTTACTATCCTGATAGGGCACAACCCAAGATGAGGAATGTAAATCCAATTGATGCTAGAAAAGCTAATAGTACCACTCTAAACGAACATAAATAGATTAATATATTCTAAATTTTGTACTACTATTCTGAACACTTGCCCTAAAAAGCAAAAATAAAATATAAAGTATTAAGAATTAAATCTGTGTAAAATATTCACAAACCTCGAATTCCTTGAAGCAACGCCATAATCAATAATAATAATAATGAAAAGCCCTAAAAAAAATGAATTATATCTTCGATCTAAAAAAAGATGAATAACAAAGATTCTCATTACTAATCGAACATATTCTAAAATATAACTTTAAAATTGATTTAAAAAGTTTAATCGTCAACGTAAGCATCATATTTAAAATCCAATTTTTAATTAAAAAAAGTACAAAACGTCAGTGTTCAAATACAAACAAAAAATAAAAAAAAAAAAATGTCTTATTACTTATTGTCTTATACTTTTCTTTTGCTTACTCATCTTCAGATATATATTTACTATTATGTTTAAAATCAAAACCACGAATAAATGGTATGCCAACGGGTACACGTTCTTGATAATTGATATAATCATATCCAAAACATCTTATCAATGTATATTCTTCATATTTAATTCGTTGATTAAAAAAATGCCATGCTGCTATAATATAAATAATTGTACAAATTGGATTACATAAATAAATTTGTGTACCAACTGCCCAAAAATACCAGCCAACATAAGATGGATGACGAAAATAATTATAGATACCATATGTAATTAATCGATGTTCTTCACGTTTAACATTTGACTTAATTAAATGAGAAAAATATTTATGTGCCGTATAAATCGATAATTTACGTAAAAATTCACCACTAAATATCATTAATAAACCAACTAGAAGAAAATAATATATAAAATAGAGTCAAAAAACAAAATAGATATATTATTATAAGACGATAAACTTACCAAGACGAATAATAAAAGCTAATTGACTAAATTTTAATTCTATTGAAAATAGTTTTATTTCAAGAATATATTCAACATATGAACTGGCAATAGCTGCATGATATTCAATAGAATGATTTAATAAGAATGATTCTAATGTTAATGTTTCTTTTGACCATAGAGCAACGGCTATATATTCACTTAAATGAAATATGGCAAGAAAAATTGTAAATAAACCTAATGGACTATATAATGGATAATAATAGAATGCCACAAAATAACCAATTAAAAATATATAACAAAGAGATAGAGCACGAATCAATACAGATGAATCAATAGATTGTTTTACTAATAGACCACTAGATAAAATATAGATAAATAATGTTAGAATAAAAATAACTAATGGTGAGTAATCAATAGAAGAAAAGATGATATGTAAAATTAAAGAGAGAACAAGTGGAAAAAATGAATAGAAACATGAGCGAAGCTCAATTGTTAAATAATCTAATGCCATAGTTAAACGTAAGTTTTAAACATAATAAATTTTATTTTACACACCAAATCATTTTTATCAATTTCATGAATTCTAAATGAAAGAAATATATTATTTTTTAAAAAAAACAAAATGATTTAATAATCTCGTCTAGTTACTTGAAATGTCATATTTCAATTTTAACCCTTTAAGTCCCCAAGGGTTAAACAGCAGAAAAATTACTTTCATTTGTAAAAAAGTTAAGCTTTTATAATTTAAATTTACAATGAAAATTTGAAGAAAATTATTTTGTCGAAAATTCTCATTAGAAACCAAAGAGCAAAAGTATCTAAGTTTAGATCATTATGTTTGATGAGACAGAAAATGAGCTGAGATAGAAAATGTTGAGACAGAAAATGAGCTGCGATAGTGAAGAAAATCAAGAATGATTAAAAAACGGAGCCAGAAATTAGTTTTGTACCATCAGCAGCCTACAGTTTCCAACAATAATTTATTCAGCTGACATAATTTGAAAGAGCACATCTCCCTAGATATTTCTGAAAAGTTATTGAACAAACAGCCTTTTCTAACCTACCTGAAAAAAGTAAATTAAAAAAAGTGAGTTTTTTCTAAATCTTCTTCATTTTAAAATTTGAATATCTCAGCTAGCATACACTATAAACAAATTTTCTTTTTACCAATCGATAGCCAATTTAATTCTCTACAATCAATATAAGATCAGCTTTTCCCAACAATGCTTCCTTAGTTTGTTATAATGATAATGGCAATGTCCATTCAAATGGACATTGGGCTTTAAAGGGTTAAGGTAAGTCTAAGATATATAATAAGATAAATGTTGTAAATTAAAGAAATGAACGTTGGATGATCAGCTTTTAGCTTATTCATTCGGCGTCCATCTATTCTATGACTATCAGGTGTATATACGAGAACTGTAGGTAGCTCACATCTCGGTAATGCAAAAGTAGAGAATGCATGGACAAACGTTAGTTGATAGATCTTCTCTTCACTGAAAAAAGGCGACAAATTTATGAGTAGGATAGCATGGAAATGTAAAATCGTTGCTCTTTCGAAGAACCATTTTATCCACCTTTTATCGACACTTTTTTCTACATCACATAGGGCAGAGTAGAAAATCGATCAAAACTCTATTATTTTGAGCATAAACTTAACTTCCCAGTTTCTCCGAAATAAATGGTGACAAGTTTTATAAAAAGAAATTATATGAGCTGATTTTAGATTTTTATTCGGTTTTTTAAAAAAAAACAATTCATATTACTCTTCACAAAAGGGATAGCTAATGGAAAAGTTATTTACTTCTTACAATACAAACGATTCTATTTTCTAAAGGATTTTTCGAAAAGATTAAAACATGAAGCGGTTAGATTTTAATTTTTAAACTCAAATTTGTTTAAATCGAATAAATAAGCTGTTCATTATTTATCACACAAATAATTCGTGTTAAAAATCTCTAATGATTAACATAATTACATACTATAATAATAAGTAATAATTTGTGTACAGTGCATTTCTCTTCTGGTGTGATGATATAATTGAAAAGATTATCGAATAGATTGCAATCAATGTTATACTCGAGCGGCGAATGCGAAGTGCTATTCAATTGTTTGATACTCTTTTGATCAATCGAAACAACTCCAATAAACGTTTATATTTTATGAGTATATTTGTGTGAATGCTATAATAAACGTTAATTGCGCTCAGTTGTGTTTGTGTCTGTGTTGTTCGATTGATAAATAAAGTTTGTATGAAAAAAACAAAAAAATGTTTCTTAAACGACCAAAGGTGGATATGTGACATTAAAAATAAAATTGTTGATATAATCCAGCAAATAAAAGCACACTCGAACATGGTACAAGTGAATGAAGAGAAAGAAAACATAAACTAAACTACGCACAGACAATTGCTATACTTATCAAGAAAAAAAATTAAAAATCACTACTGTACTATAACATGTGAGCAGATAGAAAATATGTGCTTATGTCATGCACTTTCTCGTTTTTTAGTAATGCACATTCATTGAATGAAAATTCTCAGTTTAAACAAATTAAAATAGAATTTTATTTCCTATTTTTTTTTAATTTGTTTTTAATAGTAAGTATCTCGGACATTTCAACTTGTCCGAAAACAGAATTTTCATTCAATGAATGTGCATTGCTAAAAAAAAAAATTCATGAAATGAGCAAATAGTTTCTGTTTGAACGCACCACAATACTAGACATAGAGTAAATAAGAAATTATCTTTTCTGAAACATAAGTGCACCAGACATCGAAACGATCCAAATTTTCCGAATCGGGTCAGATCCATTCAAAAACTCAGATTGATTTCGGTCTCTGAAGTGCATTGTATATATCTGACCTCTTCTCTTGCCTTTGTTTTGCTTCATTTCCAGGATGACCAAATCCAATTTTTCGAAATCAGGAGTTTTCCGTAAAAAATCAGGAGATGATCAGATGTTTTTTTCGAAATCAGGAGAAAAACAGGAGAGTATCAAGCAGGTTTTTCTTGGACAAGCAAAATTTCCATTCTCACAAACATCTGTGACTTTTTCCTACCAAGAGAGTAATGAGAAGGTCCGTCTTATGAGGGAAACAAAGAAAAAGAGAGAAAAATGCAGTTTATTCTACTGGTATTTTCGAACCCGTTCGTTTAACAATATAAACAAAATAGACAAAATATTTTTAAAGAAAACTACAAAAACCAAAACCGAACACAGCGAATATGAAGAACAAACTGTTTGCTACACTGTCCGTGGTATTTTTGCAACCTGCCTGTATTTTTCTGATGAGCGAATTTGTTTTAACAGTTCTTGATTATTTAACAGATAATTATAAAATTCTGTACAATCAGAGCAGAAAAGAATGAAAAATCAGTAGAAATGAGGAGAAAATCTTAAAAATCAGGAGTCTCCTGGTCACCTCAGGGCGTACCACTTTTCTTCATTGAGGAAAAAAGCTCAAATGGATGTCAACGTTATCATGTAGTTATTGTGTTGAAATTATGATGGTAGGATGGTGTTGTGTTCTCATACTTCTGTGGTTTTCTCCCAAAAAAATTACACCTCTTCTGCTTTCTCTCGCCACAGCACTGACAGAATGGGAATGAATTTTTCTTTTCTGCTATGCACACATTGGTGGAGGTTTTTCCCAGTGAAAGTAATTTTTTATCCGTATCCATGGGGTGGATACATCCCGTTTTCCCTTAGCAATATAATTTGTACTGGAAAGGAATAAAAACATTCCGTACCTAACGAAAATGTTGTTTGTGAAGTAGTGTGCATAATAGAAAAAAATTATGCGGGTCCATTCTGGCTTAGAGAAATCCTGGGTACGTTCCCGGAAAGGCTCACAGCTTGTGATAAATGATAATGATGATTGAAAATTGCGTCAAAAAATTTCATTTCACACATCACATCCTTTTAACTAACAGATAGTAGTTAAATAAATCTTTTAATAATTTATGAACATCTCAAAGTTTATTTCTCCTAACCGGTATGTGAGTAAATAGTCACCATTGACGAATCTGTTATCGTCAAGTGTCTTTGTATCAGAAGAAATTGCACAATTTTAATTCAATACGATACTACATTTTTATAACATTCCACTTTTCGTGAATTAAATCGAAAATTTCTGATTCAAAGTATATGAGACGATGGATAGTGGATAGCATATATAGAGCCAAGATTATACAATTGAATTGATCATCTCAGTATCATTTGTTTAGATAATTATACAACGGATAGTTTTATTTAAAACTGATAGAAAATATCGTAGATATATTGTGAAATTTTAAAGTGACACTTTAAACATAATACTCAATAAATTATTTCTAAGATATTTTTTACGCCACATTAACAATAATAATACACATAAATAAACATATTTTAGATTAAGTATGATAATATTTCAAATAAATATCGACAACATATTGAAACAATTCAATTTAACATATCCAATAAATAAGAGACTTACAAAAAAATTTATCTTTTTTATTTTCACTATAGATCAAGGGGAAAAAGGCGACTTTTTTCTTTCTTAGCATCGGAGAGCATTCCTCAGCATCGAATGCTGAACATCAAATGCTCCAGGAAAGCTCACGGAGCCGTCTTTTCCCCCATGGTATAGATATTCAGTTTTTTAACTTGATTTCCAGCAAAATGAGCAGAACAGGTACTATTGAAATCATCGAGTATAATATTCGGATATTCTGTTTCTATCCAAAAACTTTAATTAATGATATTTAACATTTACAACAGAAGCGTCATAATTGCTTATAAGAATGGTTCTAACCTTACTATGAACTCTTTGTATCGTTGTTCATTGTATTATTCGCTGTATTTAAACTATAACTGCATACCAATCATTACTGCAAATAAGAATCTAGAACGTATGATCAACGCTCATGTTTGATTAATAGTAAATTATCCAATGATCGAGATGAATTATCCTGACATTGTATACCCCCTTTATAGCAGTGAACAAACGTTGTCGACTGGTATTTTTTCTTCTTTTAAACATTTTAATATCTGGATTAATGGCTAAGAATAAAATTCTCCACTATTCAGCTGCAGATGTCTGGCGTTAAATAAGATGTATAGTAGATTTTCAGGATGATTAGATCTAAAAACTGAAAATCAGAAACTTTTATTTCAAAAATCAGAAAGCGTGATGATATAATTATTTTTTTAACAATATTTTTGCGTTGTCACGATATTGTTCTACTCTATCCCTTTGATAACAGCTCAGATACTCAGTCAGTGTGTTTCAAAAAAATATGAAAGAAAGAAAATGAAAATACATTTATTATCAACGTTATTTCACGTTCTGTCTGTACTTCTCATTCGTTCTGACTTTTTTAACAAATGTGACTACGAGAAAAGTAATTTATAAAATGTTCTATAAGAGTAGCAGGATGGGCATGTGTTTTCAATTTGACAACCATTCGCTCAGTGTCTAGTAGATCGTGACAAGTGATTGGGTAGAGTTCATCGAGTTGATCAAGAATAAAGAATCATCTAAGAGCTACAATATTGAACTAAAAAAATTAGGTAAAACAACTTTATTTGACAAGTCGATAAAATAAAAATAAAAAACAAAGAACAACAATGTCTATTAATTTCTAACATAATGTCTGCAGCAGACAAGAGTAAAAAAAGAAAAAAACTTTATTTCACAACAAACAACTATTGTTTACGTTCATCACTAGGAGGAAGAAAAAAAATAACAATAAACAAACGGAGAAAAAGCATGATTTAATTATTGATCGTATATTAGAAGAAAGAAAGATGTCAAACTTTCATGTACAAACAAAATTGTATGACACGAGAAGAGAACTCGATCTATCTGGTATAATGGTAGAACATCATTTTCGTATATACAAGCAAAGCGCAAAATAGAGAAAATAGTTAAGATTGCACAAAATATAGATATCTGCCATATTGCATTAAACTAGAACATTTCAGATAGACAAATGAAACAGAGAGGAAACTGAAAAGATAAGTTTACTTATGTACTTATACATTCCTCGTCAATAAATAGAGAAAATCTTTTTAGTCTTTCAATTTTTGATCAACAATAACAGTGAATTGCAAAAAAAAGAATCTACTATTGAGCTCAAATCTCGTTATGAACTTTTGTTCTGATTAATTCAATATCTTTTTCCATCGAATATTTTCAGATGGCATTTTTACTTCATTTTCATATGATAATGAAACGACTTCATTAATAATATTAAATTAATTTTTGTTTTTCTTCACTATATTCATTTATTAAATTGTACTCTACATATCTACAATATTATTCGAGTAAGAGAGTGAGAGAAGAAAAACAACAACAACAAAAAAAAAATAAAGTTTGAATAACACAAAAGTATACACAGAAAAGAAATAGATAACAACTGCGAAAAGAATTTACAAATTAGATCAAACTATATCGACTTTTTCTATAAAAGAAATATCTCTCTATATTTCTACTATACACGTACGGATTGAGAATAATCAATTGTTTCATTATGAATAAAAAAAAAGCAAAAAACAAATAGAAAAAAATTAAAATCTATTCAGTTATTATTGCTTTATTATTCTGATTTGAGTTCGCTTTTGATGTTGTTGATGTTACTAGAAGTTTTGTTGATCGCGGTGATTCACCATTTATTAATGGTGGTCGACGTTGTGTCGAACCACGATGAGGCCGAAGAAATGCACGTTTAACACGACTAGCAAATGTCTGACGAGTAGTTATAGTGGCAGTAGTAGTCGTACAAGAAGAAGACGGTTGAACAAATGTTGTTAATGATTTGATTTTTGATGAAGAATAATTTGATGATAGAGCAGACGATTTCTAAAAATAAGAAAAAGTTGAAAATGAGCAACATACAATGAATTGCTGTAGATAGATCTCACGAGGGAACCTCTCGAGGTGATAAAACGCTTTTTGATCGAAATTTAGTGGGTTATAGCCTTTCGACCATGCTGATTCCGAATATGATTATGGGAGCTGCCCTTAACCGTACGAAGATCCGGTTTTCTGGGAAATCAGTCTTGCCGAAACTCTAAAAAGTAACCAAAACCTTTCTTAATGAAGCATGATTGTAGACCGCAAATGTCTGATTAAAATGAGATATCTCCCAGCTCTACACGACCTTTCTTTGCAAAGTTATAGAATTTACAAGAAAAGCCCTAAATGTTCATTGTCAGTTCAAAGCTATAATTTAGGGCTTTTCTTGTAAATTCTATAACTTTGCAAAGAAAGGTCGTGTAGAGCTGGGAGATATCTCATTTTAATCAGAC